TGTTTTTTTTGCCTCTAATGACCTCTGTTTCTCTGCTGTTTATCCATGGTGGCATTTTTTTGGTCCTCCTACTGTGTTTTTAAGTAGTCTCCATGTTGCTTACAGGCATTTTACCCTGGGGACTGCTCTTTTTAATTTCTGTCTGTCTAGCATCCTCATTCTTGTGTAGTTTCCCTTGTTAAAGTTAAATATTACTATGGTGGGTCTACATGCTTGTTGACTCTCTCAAAGAATTCTAATAGATTGGTGAGGCATGATTTCCCTTTAAAAAACTCTTCCCCAATATACTGTGTTCATCTATGTGTCTGATAATTCTTTCCTTTACCATAGTTTCAACCAATTTGCCCTGTACTGATGTTAGACTTTTTGGCGTTTTCCCTCCTATAAGGATATTAAATTTAATTACATTATAAGTCACTTTTACTGAATGGTTCAGCTATAGTTACCACTTGGACCAGATCCTGTCCTCCACTTAGGACTAAATCAAGAATTGCCTTTCCCCTGGTGGGCTCAAGGACTAGCTGCTCCAAGAAGCAATAATTTATGGCAGTGGTTCTCAAATGTTTTTTTCGTGGACCGAGGGTCTTGGTGGACCACTTAATGATCTTTCCAAATATTGATTGTACCGTTAGCTATGGTAAAGTGCTTCAAAGCGCTATATAAAAAATCCCTTATTAATAATTAACTATCCCTCTTACATGCATATTATCTGCACACAGCTCAGCTTTAAGATGCTAAACAAATCTGTGAGTCAACTAGAAATAGTCATGCTCTCATTGCAAATATTAATATGATATTTTCTGATACTGGAAAGGAGAGTAAAAGGCATTCGCTCAGGCTTCTGCAGTCTCTCTGAAATGTCCACTCTAAATTTGATTAATACTTCACACACATAGAACATTAAAAATAAGTAACAACATGACACAAAGAGCAAAACAAAATCACAAACAAACCACTGAAAATACAAATTGAAGTAAAATATCAAGTGGTTGGTCACGGGTATTTTAAAGGATTGTTTTGGACCCACGCTTTGCAAATGCAACAGAGCCCTGTAGAAACCGGCAAAGTTCTCCTGATTTCACATTGTGTGCATCACCAACTCAAAAACTCACAGTGGACTCATTGAGTTTTTATAGGCCTTGGAGCACATTAACACATGGCTTGGAGTTTGCAGACAGATCCCTGCTTCAAAGAGCTTGCAAATAAGGTCTTGATCCTACAAAACACCCAGCAGTACCCCCACCAAACCTAGTGCTGCTTGCTACTTAAGAGTCAATGGGAGTACTCTAAGGGTACGTCTACACTTACCTCCGGGTCTGGCGGCAGGCAATCGATGTTCTGGGATCGATTTATCGTGTCTGGTTTAGACGCGATGAATTGATCCCGGATCGATCCCAGAAGTGCTCGCCGTCGATGCTGGTACTCCAGCTTGGCGAGAGGAGTACGCAGCATCGACGGGAGAGCCTCCCTGCCGCGTCTGGACCCACGGTAAGTTCAGACTAAGGTACTTAGAATTCAGCTACGTTATTAATGTAGCTGAATTTGCGTACCTTAGTCCGAAGTGGGGGGTTAGTGGGGACCAGGCCTTAGGCTTAGAGCCGTGGTTCCCAAACTTTAACAACCCACGAACCCCTTTCACTAAAATGTCAAGTCTCACGAACCCCCTCCTAAAAATTAATATTTCCAGGGATTTTCTCCCTTACCTGAGCATAAATTATAAAAGCAGTGATCTTGGAAATATAAAATGTCGTTTTATGACATGCTCATTACACACTATTTATTATTAATTATTATTTATCATTACAGTATTTTTATTACATTATGAAAATGGCAACACTCTTCCAAGATCTCACTTTTGTAGCTTGTATCACTTTGAATAAGCCTGTTATAAGCCAAGGCTCCTATGTTTCATCAAGGAGTATCAGATGTGAAAGAGCATGAAGGTATTTAAGAAGCCAACTCAAAGAGTTCCTCCTACACAAGCATTCAGGTCTTGAGCAGTCCAGGCAAACAATGCACCTTACAACAAAGCTTAAACTCGTTCTTCATTATAATTTTAAAACAAAACTAGCAGCCTATTTAATTTTAAAAACAGTAAAAAAAAAATACTACTCCTTTCCATTTCTAATAAGGAGTC